TAATATAACCGAGAGACTCAATTCAATTTAAGCAAATTTTTGATCAGATCATGTCCGAAAATAATTATACTTTGGAGATGTGTCTTTCTGTAGCTATGGACATTCGTTTATTGGGAGGAAATATTAAGAAGGCGACGGTAAAAGGGTTTTATGAGAGAAATATTAAAAAGAAGAATGGTTATATTAGTACTTTAGGTTTATGGATTGATAGTAAAACAAATAACCTAGGAAAGGAACTACCATCATACGGGTTAGGGCTCGGCAGATTTCCTCCCTTGAAATCCTGCTCATTTTACAAAAATAATAAAGATATGATTTGACCTTTTTAATTATTGTATCGTGCTGAATAATTTTGTTTCTCTGATATTATGTTCTGCAAAATTTAAATCACGCAACTTAACATAGGTACTTTGCACAATTTGAATGAATGTGCTTTCTATATAAAGTAATTTCTAACATTCAATCCAAAATCGATTCGTTGCAAGAATCAAATTCCCAACTCATTGCCACGATTGCTGAGCTTAGAAAGGAGAATGCTGACATCAAGGCTGAGAATACAAAGTTAAAACAAGATAAAGAAGAAATCGAGACCAGAATCATGGGGTTAGAACAGACCACCAAAGAAAATGCCGAACTTAAGGCCAGAGTCGCGAAATTGGAACAGACTGCAGAAGAAAATGCCGAGCTTAAGGCTAGGGTCGCGAAATTGGAACAGAAGCAGTCACAAAACGATATTTCTTCTAATACCCGTCCACCCAACTCCTCGCCCATATTATCAGAAGATAAGGAGGTCGATGAATTCCCAGGCTCGAAGTATAAGGGAAAGGTTAGTAATGAGATAAGAGAAAGGAACAGAGAGAAAAGGCTTCAAGATCAAGAGACACATAATACCCCTTTGGCAATTTCGATTCCGCCAATACCACCTGTTCCTTTAGTATTGACTGATTCATCACGTGAGGAAAAAACCGTTTCCAGTGGAAACGATCAGAGAAAGGTTTTGTCAAAATCTTCTGAGCTGATACAAATTGCTCCTGATGATAGGTATAATTCTGATTCTTTTGATGACCTTATTGAGCTTGACAAGAACAAAGCTGTGGAACAAGGTTTGATACAAGAATTACGATGCTGTGGCAATTCTAGAGTATTTAATGATGGGAAGGATATCGGCACAAGCCGGTATGACAGTGCCGAAATTAACGAGTCTTGTGCTACCCAAATTTCAAAGACCCTCATTCCAGAGTTTGCACCAAACTTGGCTCACTTGTTTGAAAAAGCAACCAAGATAGGTCAGAAAGAAATTTTACGTTGGTATAATTATTCTCTTGAAATCGAGAGCAAAGTTCTTGCTATTATGGATGAAAGTAAGGCTAAAGAAAAAACTGTAAGATCCTGGATATACAAAGAAATGCTACGGCATCTACCCAGCATTTCACCTGTTTCCTTGCAGATTAAAACGTGTAGAGCAAAAAAAATTCTTAAGCTATTTGGTGAAAAAGGGGTTGGGGTTGATCTAATTAAGCAAGTCTCATATAGTGCAAGAGAAATCTCCAGCCTTACTAATGCTCAAATTCAGAATATTATAAATCAAGTAGTTACAAAAACCGTTTCCGCTGGAAACGATCGGAAGTAACCAGAATAAATATATCACTCACACCTCAAGTAAATATACTTACCAAATCTGAGACCTCCAACTCTTTCGGCTCTGAGAAACTATCAGAAGCCAAGATAAGTTTGTCACCAATCACTCAACCCAAGAAGACCATACTAGTCATCCCGTATGATTCCTGCGCTTCCTATATCAATACAGTATTGAAGGAGTACCCTTACTTATCTTTGCGACATAGTGACGAATTTAACGATTGTTATGAATTCAATGACTCAGGAGTATGTCCAGGATGTGAGAAAGAGCATAGTAAAAAGGAAAGTATTTGGTATAGTGGTCAATGCAGAAATGATTTTTACTATGTTAAGTGCTGAAACTCGCCCCATGAAAAAGAAATAAGTAAAGTTGGCATGGCCAAGATGATTATATCATCTACATCTCAAGTCTTGGATTCTTCTGATCTGAAAACTCAGACAAGTATACCTCCCACACCTCAACCAAAGAAGGCCTTACCTGAAGAACAGAATAATCTGACCCATGACCGTGCTATTTTCCGCAATAAAGCATTGGAACAATATCCTGATCTATATTATGAATTCAGTAGTGAAAATGTTGATTATTACGGAATTACTGCCGAGACATTATGTCCTTTATGCAAGTTAGACTATGATGATGAGGAAGACATAGAAGGTAAATATGAAACTGGATCATACTATATTAAATGTGAACAGCGCGAAATTCAAATTACTATTTAAGCTTTAGATGCGAAGCAGTCCTATCATTTTGTTATGCTTTATAACCCATTAGTACTCAATAAAAATAAAATAATATAATATTTCTTAGTATGGAATATCCAATGTGAGAAATTAAATTGCTTTGATATTATATAATAACATGAATACACAAGCCAAGTCTGATGAGGTATTATCCCCTGAATATCTGGATTGGTATTCCAAATTAACTGATTTGCCAACCACTGTATCTGATAAACTTCGTTCCAAGTTATATAAAATATATAAGAAAAAAAACAGGACTCGATTCCTGGATAAAGTCTGAAACTTCTGAACCCCTACAATGTGAAAATGCTGTTAATCATATCATACAAAACAGTTTATTGGAAACTCAGGTAATGGCACTAAACAAAAATCACCTTTATCAGTATGCCATCGAACATGGAATAAATTCCAAAGAATTTTCAATCATTACAGAGATTGAGAAAAATAGGTGGGCCATGGGATGTTTTCGTGGGGATTTGGAAAGAGATATATGTTTCTATCGTGGTGGAATAGAAAGAAAAGAAGACCCTAGAAAATATCGTGAATTTTTAACAGATTGGGAGAGGTTGGTTGGTGAAGAGTTATTACGTCTTGGCATACTAAAAAGTGGGTTGAGTACTGCATGGCTTGATAACCTTATGGAAGAATGGAAAAAAGTCTATGCCCAATTCATACAAATTTTTAGCCAGACATTGTGACCTCGGGTCATATTCTATGTAATAAATTCTAAAACACAATTAATAAAGAATTTATTTATTTTTATATTGAATTTGCGAAATATGAAATAATATAAACTGTACCATAAACAATGTGACTAAAGCCCAATGTTTCTAATGCATATAATGAATTTATTAATTATTTATTGCAATAGCAAATTTCCATATTTCACAAATTCGTGTATATGATACATTATATTTTTTAGCCAATATCGGTAATGCATTTGCTGTATCTTTGGCAGTAATAATATCACTAATTGCTTCAGGTGATAAGTATGTCGCACCTAATCTTAATCTTCTAAACATTTTATATATGTGTAAAAAAAATAATCAGAGAATCCAATCTGAATTAAAATTGAATTATATTATTCTATAGTATAGAGTTATTAAATCTGATAAGTCTAAATCCTAAATACAATATAAATAACTAAACATGACAGATCTTAATATTTCTATTATTATTGATAAAAAAGCTAAATCACAGAAACTCATCAATAATCGTCCTGGATATGATATGAAATATGTAAAGTCGTATATCTACAATTATTGTGGAATTAGTGATTATCAACGATACTTTGATGATCTTTATGAGACTGAAAGACAATATGATACTTTATCGGTTATTCGACCCAATAAAACTTCACGACAATGGGCTATTCAGGTCAAAGTTTCTTTACAAGAACTGGTTTCCACAAAGAAAAGAAGCGTATATTACGTACATTGTTTATTTGGTGGATTTGAAAATTCTAAGCTAATTAATCATGATTACTACAGGCCTAGAATCCATGAATCCAATATAGCGATATGTCTAGATTGTATGAAACTTATTCATATTGATAATGTAAAATCAAGGAAATCATTCCATTTCACTAGAAAAAGGTATATCAAAATTATCGAGCCAGATAATTTGATGCAAAAACATTGGGATCATGAGTGTGATAAACCTAAATCTCGAGATGGATATACAAAAATTATACAAAGAGCTTGGAGAAATTCCAAGAATAAACTTGCACCATTAGCCACTTGAGTTTGGAAAGTAGTTAGAAATAACAATATTCTCAAGAACAAAAAGTTTTTAAGTGTGACTCCTCAAAAAATAAGACTTTCTGAAATTTTTATGTTAGTTATGATGGAAAAATAATTCGAGCCAAAGATATATCAGCATATGCTCAAAATTTACCCGTAATATTTTATTGTTATAGTCGGGCAGATAATAAATACCTGCTATTTATTAGAAATGAATAAATTATTATAGGCAATTCATGGAAAAATGCATCTTCGATTTCTATATACATTTATTTTATCCAATACAAAAACTCCTTCAGTACAAATAAACTATAGAATTTATTTATTTTTTCAATATCTACTCCAACTTCAATCAGGCTGGATACTGATAGCTATTTTATTTAAAAATAGTAGCAAATAAAATACTGAAAACATTTGCTCCAATTTCAAATCGACTGGCTATAATCATCTTATCAAAAAGTGGTGGATGAAATGTATTTATATTGGTGTATTAATAAATAACAAAAAAAATAATTATTTGAATATCAAAATCTTGGTTTCATCTATATTAATAAGGTAAGATTTCATTTTCTGCATGTTTATTTCTATAAAAAGATAATATATATTTGTTCGCATTTAAGGTTAGACCCTCATTATGTTCTGATTTGTGTTTATATAAAAAAAGCCTATATAAAATCCATATAATAAATATTACTATTATGATAAAGATGCTTAGCTTGATAATTGAAGATGTTTGATACTTATTGTTAACAAGAGATTTGCTACCATCTAATGTCTCTCCTATTATAATATCTTGAATCAAAGGTTCTAGGTTTTGCTTATTTGCAATAATTGATATTGTTTTGTTTTTTCTTATTACTAGATCATTTTTTACATAGGATATATCATTAGTTAAAGACTCCTGGCTAGTTTGAGAAGTATCTATTTTTTCTGCCTATTTTATTTTTTTTTTACTTATAAGATACTTCGTAAGACTTTTTGATTCAAATATATCTTCAAAATTTGATATATTTTTTATTGCGGAAACAATAAGGCTCTGCCCTTCATCACCTCCATTAATTATTGCAAAGCAATAAACCAAAGAGTCTACAGATTCTGATATAACTTGTAATTTTAGATGTTTCAATTTAGCTTCAATATGTTTTAATTCAGTTATTTTAGATTTGAGAGATATAATCTCAGAATCTTTTTTCGATAAATTTTTTTGAACAATAAATGCATCCTTTTAAGCTAATGTTAACTTATCTTCTGATATCTTGAACATCAACTGAAGTAATCTTATTTCTTTTAATTGAATATCATATTTGGCTTTATACTTATCACGGGAAATCTATAATCAGGTAATCTCGGATATAAGGTTAGTATTGTCCACTTTTAGTTGTTTAATCTTATTAATGATTATACTTAAAAAATTTCTTTTTATCTTTATTGATTTAATTTAGTTCAAGTTATAATTGTGCTTTATCCTATTTAATATTTTTATTAAACTCTGAATATACCTTCTGATAGTTTTTAAAATCCTTAATAAGTTTAAAATTGGTTATACAACTATCATATAAAACTTCTTCAAGTTTTACTTCCCTAGTACTCCCAAGTTAATATCCTTTTATAAATTGATATCTTGCATTGTACATATATTGGTTATAATTATTTAATCCAATATGTATTGATATTTATTAATTTCTATTTTTAAAAAAAAACAATATAAAAAAGAAACTCTTTCTCACAACATCTTTATCTATAGAAAATTGTCTTTTTAGGAAACTTTTTTCTTCCAAGAAACTTTGTCTAGCAGAATATGTTCTTTTGGAAAGGAACATAAACTGGAGAACTGATTTAGAGCAATAGGGATTTCAAGAATAAGATTGGCCCCTGGAGTTTCTAGCAATAAAACCCGTGCTAAGAGGTCTAGTGACTGGTAATGGCATTGGACAATAACTTGGAATAGAGAAGATGAATAAAAAGAAAATTTTCTATCTGAAGGCCATCTCTATACATAACTGCTACAAAACAATTACATCTCTCATCCTTAACTCAAAAACAATCTCATTCTTAAGAGGCAGCATTTTATTTTTTAGAGTTTTTTTGTTTCTGCTGATGATAACTAGTGCTAGATTTCACATAATCTTCTGACTAGTTACCAGTTCTTATTCACAAATTTCAATACAAAAACTGTAACCAGCTTACCCCCATCTAATAATCTGCAACATATAAAACATCAATTATATTCTGTATCACTTTTATATGGATAATTATTTTTGAAGGCGTCAAAAATGCTAGATATGATTTTTTCGGACCCAGCTTTTAAACAATACATATATAATATAAATTTTAGGATCACACCAGAAAATTTCCGGTCCACCTTCGAAAATAATTACCCATATACCAAAACAACATAATAACTTACTGAATTGAGAGAGCCATGATCAGTGCCCTGTGCAGGTTTCAATAATTACAATATACAATATTCCACCACAACAATATAATAGATATCTGAAACATATTCTAGTTATCTTATTGTAACAGGAAGAAATAGGATGTGACTGTAGTCACGTGATCAATAGTCCTGACAATGGTAAGTTGGTTATAATAATTAGATAATAACAAGTGACAAAAGAAATTGATGAGAGAAATTATATAAGATAACCTAAGCCCCATTATTGTACTATAGCTTATTATTCTATATCCAAGCCGCCATAACCAATTGTAGAGAAAAAGAAGTATAAAAAGAATGTAAATTGTAAAGAAACGAAAAATAATAAACAAGTAAGAAAATTAATAAAGACTTGATCAAATACAAATACACCTAAAATCATTCTTTCATTTAATTACCCAACAATAGTTACACAAATCTTTGCTAGAGTTAGTAACTGACTTGTCA